CACATGGGCCTGATGGGCACTTGCCCGTGGGCCCCATACTAATCTGTGTATGGTAACCCTTGGAAAATGGGAAAACTTCCAAAATTGACAGTAGTTGTAGTTGTCGTAGGGGCCCCAGTACACTGCTTTGCCCGGGGCCCATGATGCTGTTCAGACGGAGAAGAGACGAGACGCCTGCTGCCTTCCTCCAGCAGAAAGGTTCTTCTGGATACCAGTTTTCTCTTTCAGGTTAAACAGTCCTTGTGTTCCTGGAAGGTCAACTCTGGTTCTAACTCATTTAATATTTTGAAGTTCATGCCTGAGAAGTATTAGCAACTTTCTCCAAAGGAATGTCAATATACTTCTGAACAGGCTAAGAAGTTAGCGGCAACCGCGACCTCCATGAGCCCTTCAGACACCTCTGGCTTTCTATCTAGCCTGGAGCAAGGTTTGAAACTTTGTTAAATAACGAACTTCAAAAGGAAAGTTGTCAGTCAATTATTAAGACTGAACTGCCACTATACAGATAATTTGTCTGTCTTTCTTTATAGAAAGATCAAAAGAAGCTACTCCACTGAGCACAAAGATAGGACCTTTTCAATAATAAAGCTGTGAAAAGCTTACCAGATATTGTTGTGGTGCTAAATCAAGCAGAGTAAATCCTACAACTTTCAGATATGCGTCATGTCCAGTGTTTTCTACACAAATAAACTAGAGCATGTTCTGTACACTGGAGGATTTGAAATAATATAATTTCTATCATATATTTTAAAACAGCCCTATAACATCCTCCTTTACCCATAGCACAATCCTTTCAATGCTTAACTGGGAGAATATTAAGACATACTATTCTTTGATTAAAATAATCGACATGATTTTAAAGCTTCCATTTTCCTAAGTTAGCTCATGAAACGGCCTTGATCACTCACAGCTTGATGGATGACCCAACCCCGCTGGAAAATATTCTAATTTCAGGACTATATTAGTTGAATCATGGTATGGAAGTTTTATTGGCGGTGTTTAATCAATGATGGCTCATGCACACATCCAAATCAGTAAGTGATACGATTAATGGATAAAGCTGCCCATACAAAATGCCGTGCACATGTTTGTGGTGTCCAAACTTTTTGGCTAGTGTGCCACAAGTCCAATCCAGAGTGCTACTCTATTGTGCACTATGGTTTACAAGCAGACTCATGCCCTGTATATGGTGCCTGGACCACTAGGAAATTATAGAAAAGGAAGGAAAGAATAAGATCGCCAATGGTGCCACCAACACATCATCCATTGGACCATCGGGGCCATTTGGCCACCCACAGCATGGCATATCATGGTAACTCATTGAAGATAGGTCAACAGTGCTTCAGCTTAACAGAAGATAGGAAGAATGACCCCAAAGAAAGCTGTGGGTGCATGTTGGATTGTGTGGCTCATCTTAATGCTGTGACAAATAATCAGAAATGATCGTCTTTGTTCTTTTGCAGTATTTTTCATCCAAAGTAATAAGGACCCAGAAGGATGGGTGGAAATATCATTTAGAAGGATGAAAGAGTAATTATCTGTTCTATAGTATAACATTCAAATGCAATGTTTGGGGAGATTCTCAGCTTCAGCAGAAACCTAGTTGAATGTGGATGTATTTGGATTTAGGCTGACTTGCTCTCAAGGAAGTTCATGGCATGAATTGTGGTTCTCAAAAGCATAGCCTGCAGAAGGCTCCCCTTATAGGAGTCCATGGTGCAAACTGGCTATGCCGGAAGTTCCACTGCCATTTTTGCAGAATTTTCCTGTGTCCTGTTACGTAGGTATAGAAATAAATCCAGCTCTGGTGTGTTTAATGCCAGAATCAAAGTTACAAAGGATGAATTAGAAGGAAAGGATGCTGAGGATAAGAAGAGTCCAACTACATCTTCCTCCACTGCTGAGTTATGATAGCACATGATTAAAACTGCTGTAATACAATGTAGTCCTGACAAGTCAAAGACAGAATGATGCATCATGCAATGACAAGAGAAGGAGAGATTTCATATCTCTAAAATGTAAAAAGGCATCAATATACAAGAAATGCTCTTTTTATTGAAATATATCTCTTTGTTGCAGTGGAGAAATGTCTAGAGTGCACTTATGACATTATTCCATTTTGAATACATTATATATGCTATGATCTAGGCTATGTATCTAATAATCTGACACAAAACCACTGATAGCTATTCTCATTATAGCCAAATCAATTAAAACAATCTTTGGTGAGGTCTGAACGTGGCTCAAATGAATAAAATAAATCAGATGCAGCTCATCTGAGAAGCCAGCACTCATTAGCAGGACTGACGAACTAAGACAATTATGGGTTTCGGTTTTTTTTTAAGTGCAGCTTTAAATATAAAACTCTTTTCCAGTATAGTTGGCGTTACTGTATCAATGTGCATTTAAAAATGGGCTCAACTGCTGCACCAACACTTTAGTCTATTATTTAAGATGGCTTTGGATACTAAGAGGAATAAAATATGAAGCATACACCAGGCTATGGAAATTATTTATCCAATCCTGTCATGCTTATACGTGTGTATAAAAAGGGAGTGCCTGGCTCGGTGCAAAGGCACGAGCATGCAGCATGTTGTCTGGTTCCAGGATGGTGTGCTCGTACATTCTAGTGGCGTCCAGCCTCTGGCTAGTCAATGTGGGGTGCAGCGCGCTGGAGCTGGTAGGTCCGTGGCCCAATTCTGCAGGGCTTTCTCATGTTCTTACACCCAGCAAACTGCTGTGAGTTTCGCATCACCCACCACTTGTTCGGAGACATGGAGTTAGGGAATTCAAGCTGCTTCTTGGCTCTCCACAATGCAGAAGGATGGAGAATTATTAATTAATTAATTAATTAATTAATCAATTGATACTTTTGTACACCATCCACTACCAAATGGTCTCGGGACAGTCTTAGAATAGAAGCAAGTGGAGCAGGTAGATTCCTTCTCTCCACTGTCCCAGGTAACGGGAATGGTGAAAGCAGCTGTCATGCGACTGCCAATCCAGCCTTCATTTGGTTAAAAAAAATTACATTGTGTTTTTCAAGCATGTCCTCAGGACAGCTCACAACGTAATACAAAACAACAGTGGTGATAACAAACATCACTGTTGCAATAAAACAAACACTGTGTGATCAAGCACAGTCACAAATGGAGGATAAATATTTCAATGGCTCTCTGTCGCCAAAAATTCTGTTTAAATTAAGAAACAGATATTTCTATCCTTTCCAAGTAGCAGGGGACTCAAGCTGGAGCCTCATGTACGGGGTCCGGGCCACTGTTTGATCTTCTCTGCACTGCAGCAGCACCCACAACATGGCACAGCAGCTTGTCAGCTCCGCAAAACCAGCCAATGGGGCCCTGAAGATGATGTCCACACTGTTGCTTCAGGGTTTGACTCCTGACGTCAAAAAAGGAATAACTCATAAGAGGAATATGGACAGATTCCTGTGCCTACAAGTTCCTTTGTCAGGATCCGTCCCTCCAAGCATTCATGGTCCTCCTCTTATGCTCAGCCTGGTCTTCCAAAGTGCGCAGAGCAGGGAGGAAGTCCACAAACACTTGCCAAACCTCAGTTGCACAACTGGCAACCAAAGGGGTGAGGCGCTGTTTGCATGTACACGGCGGAGGGGTGGGCTGCTTTCCCAGCCAGCCCCTCGCAACAAGGCACCCCACGACCAGCCTTCCTTGGTGGCAGGAGCAGCAGTTGGGTGAAGGTCCATGGCAGTCAGTTCCTTGGGAGCATCTGGGAATGCCAGGCTTGCTCATCAGGAACGTGGACTCTGGGCTTCGGCAAAGCGGGCAAGAATCTGGGGAGCCAAGCCCAGGGAATCTGATGATTCTGCCCCTGGGTGGATTCCTCACACTCCCTAACAGTAATAGCCTGCTTGGGTTTTCTTTCAGGGAAGAGAAGCCATGGGTACCCACTATCAGCTCCAGTTAAATCCATTTGAAAAACTTCACCTATAAGGGACTGCTTTGGGGCCAACTCCTGGGACCTCACTAGCTTGATCTACAGAGCACACAAAAATACACTGGACACAAAAATACCCTGGATTGTATCAGATGTAACTCGCTAGAGCAGTTGCAGAGGAAGGCTTCTGACAAAATGACAGGAGCAAGTGCTAGTGAAGGGTTATCCCCAACAGTGTATATCCAGGCCTGTACGCACAAGAAGCTGTACATACGTGTTGAATGCACGTACCACTAGAACCAACTGAATGGCAGAAAAGAACCGAGCAAAAGAAAGACATTATCCCACCAGCTCCAAGCATTACCAGCCTCCACTGATGAGGATACAGACCTGTGAATTACTTTGTGTCCATCTTTATATGGCCTTACAGACCTCAGGGCTTGATTAGCCAAGCAATATACATACCAATTTATCAACAAAACAAAAACCAACCATACACACACTGGTTCACAAAACTTGTGACGAAAGTAAAAATTTTGGCTAACATGAAAGGTTTAGTAACAAGCAGATTTCTGGTGACCAAAATATATACATGGTCATTGAATATGTATATATACAATGTATGCACAATGTATATACAATAGATATACAAATCATATACATTCCACAATACATTGTGGAAAAATTATATGAAGGAAGAGTGAACGGATGAAACGAAAGTTATTCCAGTGCCTCTTTATAGCTTTGCTTCATAGAGTTGAATTTGCCTCATGACTACATGCGGGCTGCAAACTGAGCAAGATTTAGTTGACAATGTAAGCGATGCTAAAATTTATTCTATGCATTGCTTTCTATAACTGTACTTTGATTCCGATTAGTATTTACATAAACTCTTCCATGCTCTTGCAGAGGCAAAGCTAGGTAACCGTTCAACATCATTTTATGTGTAAAAATGTGTTAACATTTTAGTTGTTAGCCACTATGTGAGGCATTCTTGGTGGCATATAGATTTTAGATAAATAAGTAAATAAATAAGTAAATAGAAAAAAAATCACAAATCAAGACTGGTCAGCTGACAGCCAGAATACCTGGGTTTGGGAATAGATTCTGGTTTCTTGGTTCTGGGAGAGGGCATGGTGAGCGTGCCATGACTCAGAATGATGGGTAGGTGAAAATCCTCTGTCCTCAGCCACTCTGAAGTCTGGGGCCACCCGCTGCCATAAATCAATCAATCAGTCAGTCAGTCAATCATTTATTTCAATGAGGTATTTTTTTTACAGTGATATAGAAATATGGGATTTAGGCCACAATGGTTTTTCTACAACTATAACAGCTTTAAATTACAGGCAGAAATATATCCCGTCCCTACAGAGTCATTCCTTCACCAAAGGAGAGAAATTTCAGTTCAGCCTACCCTCATGACTCTATCAAGGTGCATTGTTGAAGGAATATATGCCTGAGCAATACTGAGCATTCACATGAGAAGCAGTATCAGCACTGGACTAAAGTAGTTTATTCAAGATCTACAGCTGGATTGCTGGTGCCGCCATCGCTGCCCCCTACTCGCGAAGCCTTCCACCCACGGAGCTCTTCAGTGGCCTGGTTGCAGCATCATGTGACGGATGCATCAGTCAGAATTGGCGGGGGGGGGGGGATATAGTGACTATGCTGACTGAGGAGCCACATGGATGAATGACTTTCTGCACAACTACGGGCAGAGGAGTATTTACAGAGGCAGCAGGAAATGCATTACAAGGAGTAAACATGAAGGAAAGCAGAGGATCAAACTACATGTTACTCTTAAGGCACAGCATCAGCCATGCTTTAGCTCTTTGGTAAATCAGAGCCACAGTGAGGGAGATTCTTATCCTTTCACTCCACAGCTGTGTTCTGACCAAAAATGGCTCTCCACACAGCTTGGCACTTTAGGCCAGTAGGAAACCATTCCTCCTAAAGCCTCAACCATGTGAGGGAAGTGACTTTGGCTGGGACACTGCTTGGGCGCACAGAGAGATGCTTCCTCTTGCTGTATTTGAAGTAAGAATCCACCCCTGCTTCCCTGAACTGGGGCCTGCCAGACCTTTTGGGACTGCAACTCTCACCATGTCTAACTTTTGGTCATACTGGTTGGGGTAGATGGGAATTGCAGTTTAGGAGGCTGACTTAAAAGATACAAAGGTTCTGCCACTGAGTGCTACTCTGCATACATCTTTTTTCTCTCTCTCTCAAGGAAGCAAGACAAATTGCAGTCATGATAAATGGGAAAAAATCCAAAAAAGAAGTGTTTGAGTCTGACACGAAAAACCCAAATATTGTACTTGGGCAAGGTGGTGGAGCATGTGATGGGTTTTTAGGTTCAGTACATTTGGAAGAGACTGATAACCTCTGGGTCCCAGTAGGTGGTGCTAAGGGGGTTTGCTGTGGGTTTTTTATTGGGGGCTGCTGCATGAAACAATTGAGATTTTTGGGGAGACCGCCCATAAATTTGTGACTATCACAATTTTATATCTTATTTACATCAGAACAAGGTGAGGTGGTGACAGTTCTGAATGGACTTCTGGAGTCAGTGATGCGTTAGGGTTCGATGAATTAACTTAAGCTCAGCCTAAATAAAAGGGAGATCACACTGGCCTAGGAGCTGATGGCAATGCTGTTCTGAAGGGATGGGTGCACAGTCTGAAGTCGCTCCTGGCTCTTCTCCTTGAAGGCATAGAAATTTCCTAAATAAATAAATAAGTGCAGAAGGTACTTGTGGTCAGGAATGCTTTTTATCACCATAGGCTACTTCTGGAGAAAGGTGAACTGGGCACTGTCACAAAGTCCCGGGCAACGGAGCACACATGGAGAGGACTTGGAACACTACTTGGAAACTTCACATGGCTCAAAATGGGGCCACCCAGGCCTACCGTTATTAAGAAAAAGAACCTGGTGGGGCTCTTTATATCCGGGTTGAAGGAACAGCTACATGCATGTTGTGTTATGTGTATGTGTGGGAGGGGGAGGGGGGGCAATTGAGGCCCAAGCACAGGAAGACCAAGGAAGCTTAAATGGAAACAACGCAGCCAGGGGAGGAAAAGAAAACCGAATACCATCCAAATAGTTTGAATGTTCAGGAAGGTTATTTTTCTAAGGTTATTTATTTTATGACTCTGTGATGAATATGCTACTTTTCAAGAGAATTGCAAACATTAGAAAACATTCAGTACAGTTTCTTTTTAAAAGTATTTTGAACTACACAAACATCACTAGCTTGGTTGGAGGTAACGGTAATTCATGACGTGCTGTTCATTAATAAATCATATTTGGGCAGCCCCACAGTCCAAATTATTTCCACTTGTTCCACTGCAGAAGTTTACTTAAGGGACATTCTGTCCAAACCTAATGTCATCCCCCCCACTTCTGAAGACGCTGGTCATATCCTTGCAAACATCCCTGCCTCATTTTCATGAAAGTTAGAATTCCTTCATCTGCATCTAATGCTGAAACAGAAGTAGTAGTATAGCAAGATGGAAAAATAATCTCTGCCTTGCATGGAGTTGATGGACTGACAATGCAAAAGGGCCCACAGTTCGGATTAGCCCAAACGGAAGTGTAAAGATGTGCGAACAGACTTGCTGGCTGAGATGCAGAGAACAGTCCTGGATACATCACTCGCAAATGAGTCCCACTGAGCTGAAAGGGATGTTCTCCAGGTAAGCGCCTGGAGGACTTCAGCCAAAATGTGCATCGTCTAGCACAGCCTCCCCCAGCCTTGTGCCTTCCAGACATGTTTGGACTGCAACACCCAGAATTCCCAGTCAAGGTCCCTGCTGGATGGGAATTCTGGGAGTTGTGGTCCAAATGCCTCCGAAGGCACCAGGCTGGGGAAGGCTGATCTAGCATTTGGTCCCTCGTTCCCCCTGCATCTCACCATCAGAGGAGCACTATTTCTAAACATAAAGTTTCCATGGAGAAATCAAAGCTAAAGGTTGTCTGTGAATCTGTTAAACTCTTTTGGAAGACATCCCACATTTAGTATTGCTTGAAAAAATACTGCCTTGTTCTGAACGTAGATGTGCATCTTTTTCACTGGATCAACCCCAGATCTAGCACTTTTGAAGGCAGAAGTCATGAATTATCTCTTCGTTTTCACAGTATTGTTTACAGATTAAGGAATCCATATCATGGGGCAGGGAACTTCCAAGGGGCAGGGGGACAATTTGCCCCTCCACCAAACCCACCAGAGGCCACACCCTTGGCTCCTGTTGGTGTAGTTCTTGTTGGCAGAAGGGCCTGGAAAAGCCTGCATACGTAGTTGTGTGTTAAAGCTGAATGAGCCCTTTTTGCCACCGATGCATCACTAAATTTCACTGGCAAAAGGCTGATTCCCTTGAAGCACATTTGGTGGTGTTTTGGTGGGGGGGGGGCAGCAGGGCCCCCACAAACTAAACAGGGGATGGATGTGCATTTCTCATCTCTATCATATCTGTTATTAGTTCCAAAACTGAACCTTTCATTGCAAGAATGATTCAAGCCCTGGTTCGTTTTAGTCCCCTTTTTCATACTCTCTACCCTATCCTTTTTAAAACAGGCCAGCCAGTTTTTACAGTAATATGAATGTACTGGCTACCCTATGGATTTCATAGTGTTGTGACCTCACTACAGCATCCCTTTCTGAATCACTTTCAATACTGATTTTGTGCTTCCTGCCCCCCGAGCGTACCCAGTCCATTGCACAGCTCTGTTGGGAAGTAGCTCTTTTGTGTGGCAGAATCAGAACTGGGATGGAGGTGATCTGTGCTGATTCCCCATCCCCTCGGCAGTCTCCACTGCTGCCACATTTCCTGCAGAAGGTTTGAGGAAATTTCCAGACAGTGTGGTGAGCTGCAGGAGAGAGATGGAACCTGCGAAAATTACCTCCTCCTCGTTTGACTGATGGAGGTCTTCTCTAGGCTTCCATCAGCTGAAGAATTAATGCAGTGACTCCACAGTTGTTTCTTCTTGGACCCTAAGATCCCTTTTATGAATAGCTACAATCAGCGCTAAGAGGTGTGGCAGCAAATATGGTATTGCTGATGGAAACCAAAACTTTTCGGAAACTCTCCAGTTTATTTCCTTCCAATGGTGCACATTTTATACAATTAGACAATCCTGGGTTACAACTCAACTTCTTAGAAATCTGCTGTTATAACAGGGCAGCTAAGTCTCTCCTCTCTTCATGTGCAAAAGTAATAACTCAAGCTGTGGATAATTATTTCCAAAATGTTAAACAAACTCCTTGCTCTGTTATGTACCACAATTACCACTACACACATTTTAATTAAAGAAGAACAATACTTGCTTGTACATGTTACGCAGTTGCTTGGGGAGCAATCCTGTACGTGCTTAGACAGAAAATGGTCCGATAGTTCCTAGCATTCCCTAGCATATGGACTGCACTCATAGATCTATTTAGAGGTGAGCAAGCTTGTTCTTACTCACCTCTGACTGAACTAGAAACAAACATTATTATTAAAAATAAGCAGAAATAATTTGCTTCATTTTCTGAGCCATTCTGAGGCTCTAAAAATAGTCTATTGGCTAAGTAATGGAAACCGTTCTCTATTGTTTTGCTAGATGGCAGCTTTTCAGAACTGCCCCCAGGAAAAGGGTGGGGAGCAAAAGATCTTCCCAGGGAGACCTACTTCCAAATGACTTTCTGTAAAAGAGCCAGAAAATGAAAAAGAGAATAAGGGCTAAAGCTGCTGAGAACTACTAAATCTCACAATGGTTCCTCACAAGACAGTCTTGATGCTTCTGACTGAATTGCATGGAAAACACAGCCTTTGCCAACTGCTATGTACCTTATGCTTTAGGAGCTTGTTTCCAAGAAAAATGATAGATCTAAAGCAGGGTGACATAAAGGGATAGCTTTAAAGTTGCATGTGATACCCAAATCACAGCATACCCAAATATATTTCTGGTCATCTCCGTACTCAGTGGTTGCATGGGCTCCATAATAATTAATGGCTCCTTGCTTTCACTTTGCATGTGACTTTTCTGTGTTTAAAACATTTCTACAGTTATTATGAATGATAAAACTCAAATCAGAACCTTTGGCTTAAAATATACTTTTTGTAATTTATCTCTGTGTACAAGAACCAGGTTTTTGTTCTTGTCAAAGCAAAGCATCTGTTTGCTACCAAAATGTCTTGTCCCACATCCCCCAAGAAATCATGTTCAGAGAGAGAGAGAGAGGGAGAGAGAGAAGAAACTGATTCATTTCTAATGTTAATTCTAAAACTCCTTCCCATCCCCAAGAGATGCTGATTTTAAGAATGAAAAAAGCAAACAGATCTTACCTTCTTGTAGAGACTCCTCAGGTCTCTGTACTGCCACATGCTATTTAAGACCTGAGATGCTGCCTTCACTACTTTTGGTGAGTGCCTGTTTGGAAAGAAAGACACTTGTGAGTAGCGAAACACTCAAGGAAACTGTTTGATACTCAGTAGTCCATTTGTTCAGCAGCTGGTTTATTTATGAGCACGATCATGTTGGAGTTTGCCTCAACTTCTCTGCGTCGATTAAGAGTTGGAGAGGGGTAAAAGGACGAGTAGTTACAGTGTGCCGACCAAGAGGTGGCAGAGGATACAGGCGTACCCCATGGTGATTCGGGAAGGGAAAGAATAAGAAGAAAGAACAGTGTGAAAAAAAGAATAAGAAAGAAATGCTTCTGCAAGGTGAAGCTCCAGTAATACGCCACCGGCAGCAATGGGGTTATGCTTGCTTGGAATGTGCCTGCTACTACTTCTGGACTGGGGTTTTGCAGAAGTGTGAGTATCCTGCAAACAATTTGTTTTCATTGATGTGATGATCTTCAGGAAATGCTGGGATAAGAGCGCACAGCATCTCATCTCACATTATTGTTCTAATTTGGACTTAATTATATTGTGATTGCTGTTTGGAGTCCCATGAAACAAGCATTGGCTGCTGCAAGCCGAAGTAAGCAACAGGTTGCATCCAAGCTAGTATGGGCAGGTGTCTGTCTCTCCCCCTTTCTCGCCACTGCAACTCCCTCTGCCAAGAGGGCTTTTCGGAGTATGCAGGAGACTGCAATGCAGGTCAGGAAAGTATCTTCATGAGCAAGTGCTTATTTAGGAACAAATTCATGGTCAGAAGAGGAAGCTGGAGACTTTCGGATCATAGCGAAAATCTTCTTTGAAAATATGAACCTTGAACAACATTTAGAAAAATGTCCATCCTATAAAATTACAAAGTTTACAGTTTGCAAAATTACAAAGTTCTAGTTTTAAGTATTAGTGTCTCAAAGTAAAATGAGAAAAAAATCTTCGCAACTTCAAGCTTTTCTATTCCATGTTATTATCTTGTAGGTTATCATTCTAAGACTGTAGTATGCACAGTCCATTTTGAACATGTTGTCTGTCTCCTTTTGTAACTCTGATATTAAATTTATTTAAATAAGTGGTATATAACTATTGCAAATAAATAAGTCTGTTTTATTGTACGCACTACCATCTCATGCTTTCAATAACCACTTAGTTCCAGATAGTGTGTTTGTGTATGTTTTCATTTGCAGCTTATAGCCATCCTGCTTCCATTAAGAAATGTATTATTGTCTCTAAATCAGCCCAAATGATAATGTGTTTTAAGTAGCATCATAAAGCCAATATCTAGTGGAAACACATAATCCATTATTTCTTGTATTTACATCAACATTAATATCCAGTACAGCATCATCCAATAAATATGAAACAACTTTCCTCTGATATTACCCAGGCTAAAATTATTTGGAAAGGCAGAAATTCTGCTTATGCTGGGAGGTGGGGTTTAGATTTGATTTTTAAATGGATTTATAACATGAGTGTTTCTTAGTATCCAATACACATTACAGCAGCTAATAAAAATACTTACTTGAAGAAATCTGCCCTTATACCAGCAAGTATAATTACTAGTTATTGCTTTTCATAGTTAAATCATACACTATCCTTGATGCTTCAGATGACAGTATTGACCAGAACTGTCAGACACCTTGATGTTAGATGATCTGCCCACCCCACTACCTTTCCCCAACATGTCAAGCTTACTAACACATGATAAACTACTATGCTCCAGGAAATCATTACAGTAGACAAGCATTAATTAAATTAGAGCTAATAGGCACGCTCCGCAAAACATACTTGTCTCCTTTACTCTTGGAAATGCCAACAAGCTTCTCGATTCCTCCTGCGTCTCGTAAGGCCTTGGCATTCTCCATATTTTTTGTTATGACTTCGTGTAAGGTGCAACAAACGGCAGTGACGGTATCGTCGGACATGGTCTTGCTCGCTGAACTGTTGTTGTTACCTCCCGGAAGCCGGTGAACCAGGTCTCGCATGGCATACTTGCCTTTGGGAAGGAAAACATGAAGGGAGGAGGCACATATTATAAGCAAAAAGCAGAGAAAATGGAAGGCATAGGAAAGAAAGCAACATCATCCAGTGACACGTTAGCGTGAATGCAAGGTGACCACTATTTCTGCATGGTGATTTTGTAAAAGCCTTAGTCCCGGTATTTATCAGTCAGAGTTTCAGCCATCCTTCCCAAGTCTGGTACCCTCCAGATGCTTTGAACTTCAGGTCCCATCGGCCCCAGCCAACTTGGCCAGTGATCAGGCATCCTGTAGTCCAAAACATCTGCAGTGCACCCAGTTGAGGGAAGCTGTTGTAGCATTTGCAATGCCCCATTCAGGTACTTTATCTTGCCGATATATCATGCCTGAAGGAAGGGCGGTTGTACTTTTCTCATATAAATGCAACCGATATAAGGCTACATGAACCCTGCTGAACTGATACGATATTGAGATGTACTGTTAAAACATGCAAAAAGCACAGATACTACGGTTGTATCCCATGTCCATCCTACTTAGAATAGTACAAGTGAAATGAATGGAACTTAATTTTGTAACAACTAGCACTCCATCCATTACAATGGTCCATCTAAGTATTGGGCCTAAGTCATTCCCCTCTGCGGATGGCTCTTTGGCTTAAAAGATGTGTTTGTTGCCGGAACTGGGAGGGAACCCCCTACAGTCTTGTGTCCTCTCTTGTGGGGTGCTGAAGGGCCTCAGGGGCAGGGAAGAGTCATTTCAGCAAAAATTGCTGCCCAGCATGACCTGGTCATCGGATGAAAATCTCCTTGGATCAAAAACCCAAGCGGGTATCCACCAACTGGATATAGTCCACTTAAAAATTCCGTGAAGTTGAGGGGAGTTGTGGATCATGCAGCCTCATGACAAATAATATCCTCATGGCCATAATATGTGGCATATTTGGCCAAGCCAAGAATGTGCTATCCATGGAAAAGCAGCATTCCCTACCTAGGAAATGGAGAACACCTAGTGCTGGGAAAAGTGAAGACTGATTTTACTCCAGACATTTCTAAGTTACTATTTTCTATTGCAAATTGCCATTCAAACATATCGCCAAGAGGAAACACTGCCTGAAGAACATGAAGAATGTATCTGAAGTTGCCTGCAACATTCTGGCTGATGATACGTTGGATATTGCCATTACTTTTAGTATACAGATCGTCCGATCATCTGCTAAACTCCCTTTTAAGAAAAATTATTAAGAAAAGTAAGAGATGGTTTTACAATTTAAAATGTTAAAACCTAACAAAAGATACAAAACTCCAAACATGAAACAAGGTAGAATTCTGCAAGGCCTCTCAGTCTTTTGAAAAGAGGAGGTTTTGAGATGGGCCTCTCTTCTCTTGCTTATCCTTTAAAGCATCCACATGGTTAAGTAGCCCTTAGAAAGGGAAGGGGGGGACCCCATTGCTGGGATTTCTTCTTGTTGTTGTTAGTCGTGAAGTCGTGTCCGACCCATCGCGACCCCATGGACAACATTCTTCCAGACCTTCCTGTCCTCCACCATCCCCCAGAGTCCACTTAAGCTCATGCCGACTGCTTCAGTGATGGGATTTCTTAGTACTGCTATTTCTAGCATTTTAGTAAGAAAAAAAAAACTACCTATACTTTTAAAGGCTATGGCTGAATTTGGCTCTGGTTCTGGCACCCAATTTGCCAGTCCAAGTGGAAATATGCTTCCATGTCCCTTTGAAGATCCATCCCGCTAATTCAGTGGGCTTGAATGAGAACTGCAATGAAAGTTTGCACGTGCAGACACATGGACATCCTCAATCTTATGAGCTGTATGTACAAGTAGACGTTTCATTCCACCTATGTCTCTCACTGGACTGGGAAAAACAGAGAAACAGAATCCATCTTGGAACATTCCAAAGAAATATCAGGGTTTTTCTTTTTTTTTCATTTGATCAGTATGAAACAACCAAAATACAGATGTTCCATTATATATATTTAAGAATGAAGTCACCAACATTTTAAAGGAATGCTAATTACATGGAGTTGTATGGGTGGGGTTCATAGTTAATGCATGGTTTTTCTGTACATAGTGTTTGCCTGGCAGATGATCGAGCAAGCCATGACTTGTTTTCTCAAGCCTCAGGTCAATTATTTCCCTCTTCCGCCCCAGTATTCCATGTGTTTCTGAGGTGAATATATTGCTGGCATGCAAAGCAGCTAGGGGTTTTGATCACTCTTTCCTACTACCTCTGTAGCCCGAAGAAAAGAAAACCATGGCAGTGATGACAACCCATGGCTTAAACAACCCAGAGTTCACAACCCATTAACAAACCATTTTTTTTCTTTCTGGGGTTTTCATGCTTAACGAACCACAGTTACTTAGCATGTCATAACAACTCAAAATTCAACAATCCATGTGTTAAAAATCCGTGGCAATCACCTGTTTCACAATGGGCACAAACCAGGCCACTGCAGCTACCCAGTAAGGGGACTGGCCTTGAAAACAGCCAGATGGGAGAGGGACATCTCTTGGACCTGGGTGAGCCCGCACAGGATGCTGGTACCAAGTATACAATCTGCACTGGCAACTCTGACCATCACTGGCTGGACAGGTGTAACGTGGGACCCAGGCATCTCTTTCATACTTTCTTCCCAAAATAGTCTGTTTTTGCTGTAAAAGTCAATAGTGCTGACCATCACTTTGGTCACTGATGAAGGGGTACTTGTGCTTTGTATAAATCAAAGCCATTGTCAATTTTTAAGTAAACAGTTGAACATATCTACCTTTATCTACAAACAAATTTGTATTTTCAGTAACTTGTCCTGGTGATGGAATACATTTTTAAAGGATTTGCATAATTTGATTAAATTTAAGTCTCTGTGACCTTCAGGAGAGCTTCTTTATCTGCCTAAGTTTATTGGAAAAGAATGGAAAAATTAGAAATGTAACTTCAGGGTAGCATTCACAGGAAAGGATGTGATTGTAGAGATGGGATTTTCTGATAATACAAAATGAAGTTATCCAACACCACAATGATCTCATTTTATTTCTAGGGGGTCGCAATCCCTCTTGTACTCTCTCAGTTCTTGTCTCTTGAGGTATTAAAATCTGTGGCACCTTTTAGAAAGAGGCAAGCAAAAAATAATTGTGTTTCCGGATTAGAATCTATAGTATTTTTTTGAGCAGAGGCCTCTCCCATTGTTGGCAAGAGGGCTTTCCCCCCTAGACTAAAGCTCTGAAAAGCATGAACAAGGTGACATTGACTTACAGTTGCCATTCAGATAAAACAGATTAAAGAAGAGATATACTTTCCTGGCAAATAGAAAAAGTTGACTTTTTTGAAGAACAAATTATGGTCAAAGCAGAAAAGAAATTACCTTGCTATTTCTTCGTGCTAAACTATGATGGAGCCAGTTCAAAGTTATTTCAAATGCTCGGTATTTCAACAAGTTAATTTGTCAATGTTTCATATATGTGCCATTTTATTCTGTACTGCTGCTACTCTGAATAATAGCAATTGCTATTGCTGTTATAAGGGGTTTTTTAAATGTGTGTGCATGTTTAATGTTTGTCTAACTCTTATTTGTTTTTCGGTGCCAGGCAAAGACCTTTTTATTCAAATGTTATTTTAACTGTTAATATTATTTATTCATTTTATTCTTAGGCCAGGGCGACTTAATTTATATTGTTAATTTATGGTTGTGAGCCGCCCTGAGGCTTCGGCGAATGGGGCGGCATAGAAGTCTCCTCAATAAATAAATAAATAAATAAATAAATAAATAAATAAATAATAAATAAATAAATAAATAACAGTATCTCATGTTCGACTCATCTTTGCTCCCAACATGTTTTCTGTCAATCAGCACACAATATCTCATATTCAGTAAACAGAACTAAGCATGCAATCCATGCCAATTTAATGTGCGGTATAAATATATCAAATGTTTTTCCCAATAGCTACAAAAAGCATTTGAACTGAAAAATGTGCTTTACCACGTAATATACTGTAGTTATATGCTACATTCCAATGCATTCAAAGCTTAATGTAGAAATTACTCTATTGGCATAGTTGTAAGAATGTAAAGACAATAGCATAGACTTCTGTATATCAAAAATAAGTATTTTTAAGGAAACATTTTAAAGAAAAAAAACCCAATTGTGTCTAAAGAACACAGTGTTCCTAGGATATATACCCAAAGAGAGCTGATATATCGTATGGCAACAGTTTAATTTTTCCTTGCCGAACTAACGGTAGCTTCCTACAGCTTCAAGCACTCTCTATACTGCTCGTCAGTTCCACTTCAAGTTGAGAAGAATCCCTAGCAAAACCATGAGTCGAACACTCTGCTTCTGGACAGATGTGGTTCTGAGGGCACCAGCTGGGGAACATGAGTAGGAGGGTGTTATTGTCCTGCTTGTAGGATCCCACAGGCAACTCGTGAGGTGTTTCTCTGTCTGAACATGCCTAGGATTGTACCTTAAGTCATCTTTTTGATTTTGGTATAGGTGCTGCATAAAAACCTCTCAGGGAAAAGCTTTGGGGAGGCCAGCTTGGAGCAGAGAAGGATTCGCACTCCTCATGTGTGTGCCTTTTCTGTTGCTAAAGCCAGGACATCTCTGCATGAGATTATGTGCATACATGTGAAATCTATATTCTAAAGTAATTTTTCCCCAGGTGGAAAAGTTAGTATTTCCTGAAGCTTTTAGATTTAAAAATGTAAGAGCATAAGAAAAGTCCTGCTGGATCATACCAAGGCCCATCTAGCCCAGCACTCCATACACATGGTGGAAAACCAGTTGTCCAAACATGTCAAAGACTTGAAAAGAAAAGTTCCCAACCTCGAAATAGGCACGGGACATCCTCAGATCTATCTCTTCTCTACCTCCAAGTTTCAGAGCAATGCACTGAGCCATTTTTGAGTGACCCCATTCCATTCCACTATTTCTGGTTGTCACGGCAGAGGCTTTCTCTGCGGTGGCGCCCCACCTATGGAATGCGCTCTCCAGAGAGGTCCACCTGGT